TAGCCGGCTGGAGACGAACGCGGCTCTATTACGAACGTTATTAATGTGCGTAGTAAATGACATACGCGAGTCGAAAGTGACTCCTAAGTATTTGACCTTTTTCTCCCAGGAGAGCGGTTCGCCATAAAGGGATATTTGCCCCAACTTTCTGCATTGGCGAGGACCATTATAAAGATGTGACGGGTAAGTACTTCGTGTGAAGTGAATCGCCACACTCTTTTCGGGATTTATTTCTATTCTCCATTTGCGGAACCAATCGCCGAGGCGGTCGGCGACGCTTTGGAGTCGAGTGGTTAGTATTCTAAGGTTGCGGTCTGAATAAAAGAGCGCGGTGTCATCCGCGAAAAGCGCGAGATTGACGTGGGGGTCTTTAGGTATATCGCTCGTGTAGAGCGTAGAGAGCAAAGGTGAGAGGCAGGAGCCTTGTGGTACGCCGACCGTGAGGCGGCGGCTTGTGGAGAGGGTGCCCTCGACTCGATATCGAAAAGAGCGATTCAACAAAAAGGCCTGGATGGTGTGTACGAGCCTATCTGGCACTTTGAGTGTGTATAGCTTGTAAAGTAAGCCGTTGTGCCAGACCTTGTCGAATGCCTTTGCGACATCGAAGAAAAGAGCCCCTGTACTGATATGTTTCGGGTGGTTTAGGCCTTTTAGGATGTGCTCCGTTAGGCGGTATAACTGGTCGGGACAAGAGTGTCTAGCTCTTCGTTACAGTTTAATACGTAAGGGTGTTCTAAAATTGTTTGTTTTGGAAAATTTAATAACTCGGTAAATATTGATGTTTAAAGAATGTAAATGTTTAATAGAATTTTTAAAAGTTATCCTCTATATGTGTGTTCATTTATTGTCGCGGTGGTAACGACACGCTGTATATGTAATAATTATCTCGGATTAAATGTATTATTTCTTTTATTTTTTGGTCCAATGGACACACGCAACGCCGTATCCGTTCGACGTGAACTAACTCCGCTCATTCTCGTCACCTACGTACATACGTAAGGCTGTTACGACACTTTCTGAACTTGCTCCGTGTGTCGGCCGTTATGGTTTGTAAATGTAAAGCAAATATCGCTCATAAACCCGCTTTCACTGTGGCGTATGATGTGAAACAATCCAACCCGGGATACAAATTAATATCGCCGCCATAGTTTATAATAAGGCCATATTAAGTAGAATTCTAATAACTTGACTACGTAAGCTACCAAGTTACTTAAAACTTTTGATGATTTCATGGCGCGGTGGCCAAGGTATTGGGTTCGGAGCCGGAGGTCGTGGGTTCAATTCCCACACTAGTATATTAGTAGTTTCGGTTCTTTTACTTTTTTTGCAATAATTAGTAATATTAATGTATCAAATAATAATTTTATTTTAAATGCATATATATATAATACGTACATACAGCGTAAAAGAAAATCCGACAGCTTATTAGATTATTGTTTGGAAGAAACAGATTGCTAAGTAGCAGGTTATATAAAAAAAAAAAAATACAGCGTATAATGCGTAAATATTTAAAAATCGAACGTTGCATTGTCGTCGTCGAAAGCATTCGATTACCGCTTAGTGGCCCAAAGAAGTTTTACTTCGAAAATGTGTCTTGATCCTTGGCCGTCTTGCCAAGTCGCGGGCGATTGCCAGTTGAGTTATCTGGTGAAAGCACTGATGAAGTCAGCGTTCGCGCAAATTCGGACGCATCGCTATTTTTGGGTATTCATTGCCTACCCGGCGGCGCGTCGCGGGGCGTGCTTTGCGTGTCGATGTTTGTTTGTTTTGAATCTCCTTCGATCGTTGCGTGTTGCTTGTAAAACCTCAGCGCCGGACTTGAACGAGGTGCGAGATTTGATGCAGAAGCGAGCTGTCGTATGGCTTATCGGTTCTGAAGAAGATATTGAAAGTACGTCCTACGTGCCTATGTTTTAATAGCCCTTGCCAATAGAGATGTCGCGCGCCTTTTTTGTCTAGTTATTTAGGGTTCCGTACTTTAAAAAGTAAAAAAGGAACCCCTATAAGATGTAATTGTCGTAATGTAAAAATCGGTGGTGACACACGGACGGTAATTCTGCGTCCCTATGTTTTAATAGCCCTTGCCGATAGAGATGACGCGCGTCTTTTTTTTCTTAGTTATTTAGTGTTCCGTGCCTTAAAAGGTAAAAAAAGGAACCCTTATAACATCACTCTCTTGTCCGTCTGTCTGTCCGTGTGCCACCGTCGATTTTCTCAGGTACGGGTGGACCTAGCAAGTTGAAATTTATACCAGATACCGAGGTCTATAGTCCCTATTAGTTGAATAAAAATTAAGGTCCTGACGATAATACTGTGTGTTACCACACGTAAATCCACAGGTTCTGCTTCCGTCGTGTCATTTCTGTTATTTCACTGGTAAGGGCCAAACTACTCGTATCATCGGAACTTCGTACAGCGAACTCGGGTGCGCTTACGAAATCGGCTATTAGAAATCGGGTGCTCTCCAAGGTCGCCAACGGTGTCCGGCGCACTAGGCTCCGCCGCTTCTGCTTTCTAGCCCGAATTTCGCTGTTGTACTGTTGTAGTAAGATTGTCCTCTTTCCGGCCCGTCCCACGTGTCTGTGGCTGCTATAGTACACTTAGTAAAGTAACGTAAATACGTTACTAAGTGTACGTAACGAAAAAAAAAGTAAAGTAACCACCTATACATGTCCCACTGCTGAGCAAAGGCCTCCTCTATACAGATCAGGGCATAGTCCACCACGCGGCCCCACTGCGGATTGACGGACTTCACATATCTTCGAAAAATATATATATTTTTTGTTATTATTTCGAAAATATGCAGGTTTCCTCACGATGTTTTCCTTCACCGCTGAGCACGTGATAAGCCAGCACTTAAAGTTAAAAACTTCATCGGTGCCGGCACCGGGGATCGAACTCAGGTTGCTCGAGTATATTGAATTAAAGGCGAGCGCCCGGACACGTAACGTAAGTACGTTATAATTCTTTAGCGGAACAAAAGATTTTATACACTGTGCCAGTAAGTGCTATTTTTTTATAAAAAATATAAATAAATAAATAATATTTAGGACACATTTTTACACAACGTTCTCTAGTCCCAAACTAAGCAAAGCTTGTACTATGGGTACTAGGTAACTGATAAACATACTTAAACATACTTTTCTTTTGTAAATAAATACATATTATAGATATATAAACACCCAGACACTGGAAAAATAATGTGCATCACACAATATTTTTAGAGTAGTGGGGATCGAACCCACTCCCTCTGACGTAAGAGGCAGGTACACTACCCAATACGCCATTCGGGTCGTCATATGCTAACGGTTTTATTAATTAATTTGGAATTATAGGTAAACGTCAGTCAACAAGTTGTTATTGGTTGCCAAGGTAATACCGTGTCGCTCTGCAAACAACTTCGTCATGTCGCTTTTCAGGGATCGGTGCGTGCCAGCATCTTAAAAATTTAACTCATAGATTTTCCAAACGCTTCAAAAGAAGTGTATATCTTTAAAAAATACAGTTCGGCATAGTATAGTTGTATGTATATATTCTCTTCCATAGCATTTTGTGACTTTTGCATCCTCAGCTGCACCTATGATAAGCTCTCACTACATCCTGGGTTGATAGTTAGAAAATGTGTTTGAGCATTAAGTCAGAACTTTGTCACTTTTCTTATAAAGGTGGGCGATAAAGCTGAAATAAATAAATACAGTTTTTATTTAATCGTTCATAATTTCTATGCGGGAGGCATTGTGACGATAGTCTTTTAACTTTTTTTAATAAGCGAGCAGACAACTATCGCACCAGACCAGCAATGCAATTGTAGGTGGTAAATACAGTAGCTCACTAAAATCCTACGAAACCTATATTAACCTCACCGATATATGTCTCCATAAGTCAAGTCTAAGTGAGCAAGTTACTCAAGTATATAATAATCGATCTAGCTCCGGTTAAACATTACATCGCGTGGAAACAAGAGGCGACATACTTATCGCGTTCAGTCCAACGTCGAGCAATTTACAAGTCGACTCGACGACGCGAGCGTTCGCCAATTTAGCGATCGGTTCCGCCTGATCGCAAATCCGTGCGACATTGTTCCGCCGGCGGTTTTGTCCGTGGCGCTGTGAATAATTAGAGTTGGAAGCGACGCTCTAATTACGCAAACTGTACTTAACCCGCTCCCGTTGAAAGAACAGAAACGCAGAAATGTAACACTTCTTCTACACACCGGTCTTCTGTGAGGTCGTGGTACTAAACCGCACGGACCTGCCCATTCGTGCATCAGCGATTTGTTGCTCGGCGCTACCACAGCAATGTTTGCTAAACCTGCAATAGATGGACTCACCCAAGAGCAAGGCGATATAACGCGCACATAATTACACCCGCGTTCCTAACAGCTGTTTTAAACGCTCAGAATTCAAGTTAAGGTTTGAATATCTCCCTATTTAAACACGCATGTCAGTCATGCTCGTGCATTGTAGGCTATTACGCGAGTTTAGTTTGTCCGTGCCAGATTGACTCGATGGCGCCGTTGCTAAGCTTCGGCTTCGAGGGTCATTGGTTCGATTCCCACATGGGACCAGTGTTTGTATGACCCACAAATAATTTTCTCGGGACTGGGTGTTTGTTTCCCAAGGTGGGTTGTCGTCAGGCAGGTCGGTCGTAAACATAGCCGATACATCTTACAACATGATTCACATGTTATGCCGAACCCACTTAGGTGGGATAAGGGCAGGGGGATGATGATGATGAGTTTGTCTGTGACCAATGAAGATTTTCGTAGCCCATATGACTAAAAGCGAAGTCATCATACAAAGTGCAATATCTTTATTGAATATTTGCATTTGCACTTACTTATCGATTGTCAAAAAACTCTACTACCGGTTCGGAAAGAATGTCACTGACCTGAGAAGAACCGGCGAAAGAAACTCAGAAACTCAGTATGTGCGTGAGATATGAGACTCATCTTGTGTTATTTCCGCGAGGACCGCATCCGCCCCGGGGGATCGCTAACAATGTGCCCCAATTGGAGCGAGAAGCTACGATTTTTTCTCGTAGCCAGCGAGGCCGCCGCAGCCTTAGTTTTTGCGCGCCGCGGTTTTCTATCGTCAAGGATCAGGGCACAATGGGCGCGGATCACCGAAGTCGGTCGCGTCCAATTGTCTCCGCGGACTCGGCGGCGGCTGGAGGTCGGAGTCGTCCGTTATTCGCGCACTGCGGAGGCAACGGACGTTAGAACGAGCTAATTGTAAACGACAAAATGTCAATTGGTTTGGTTAGATTTGGCCGATAGCGGCGCGACGGTTGTGGGGGTTGGAGGCTCGAAGTTGGTCTGGCTCGAAGCTGGCGACAACGAAGCCTTTTCGCCAATTTAACTATTGACGCTGTAACGTTTTTAATGAATGGTAGGGTGTATAGTTAACGATGGTAAGATTTAATAAAAGATTTATTAGCGGTTAAGAATTTGTATTTATCCCTTCAGTTTAAAGTTACAATCCCTGGACTAGCTCAGATACAATATATTTTAAAATATAATAACAATAATGAGTTGGACGCCTTGTCTGTTAGGAACAGACTGTTGTAATAATCACAATTAAGTATCTCAGGGAGTCGTGAGTACATAGGACCTACACATTACTTTGTGCGACCATAAAAGGTTGAATAATTAAATTAATTTGAGATTATGAAAGTTATGCAATTCAATTTAAAAAATAAAGTCCAATCAGGTAGTTATTTTAAATCTATGTCACCGTAGAGACACCTGCCCTGTGTGCACAGGTCAGCGTTGAGCTCAGAACCAGTAGAGAAAGTCAGGCCAAGTGTAGTGTGTACAGCCACACTGTTGGGGGGTAAGTAGGAGACCTCCTGCCAACAAACACTACATTGTAGAACTAACAAAGGCAGGGATATGAATCCACCTACAATTATAAGATGTGAAACACTTACCAACTGGAGGTAAAAAACAATATTTAATCGAGCAGTAGCTCAGACCAGCTTGCCAGCCACCTATGCCTTCAGCATCCACCTGTGATATTCGAAAAACCATACTTAGAAACACGAGACAATAAATTCTCAACCTACCTTCATGTGACATTTCTAAATACATTCACAATGCAAGTCTTTTACAATTTTAGTAGGAAACCAGTGAAAATAACAGAGGATCTTACCACGAGGGATAACAAATCCAGCACAGAGTTTCCCAGACAGGAATCACTCAGATAATACGACCAGGAATGTGTTCTGATTTCAACCTCTAGCCATGCACTGTAAAAAAAAGCGAATTGATAAGAAAACGAAATACGTAAAGAAAACAACCACTGGCATGATCGAAACCAAGCAATTACTTACCGGTCGAAGATAATAGATCCACAAAAACTAATTTATCCAATGTCAATTCGAACCGGCGGCAATCTCAAATGACAAGTACCAACATATGAACTTAACTTTTTGATTCGACCTTTCGAAAAGGCAAAGGTTCATATCACATACAGCCTAGTCTTTAGAAAAACGACAATTTAGACAAAGTGATGAAATCCCACGTTACAACGCACATTTGAATCTCACCTCGCATGCAGACTAGAACTCAAAAGCGATCAATCATTGTTGTAGTCTTCTCTATTACATGAAACTTTCTTATCGAGGTTGCTAGTGCAGACAAGTGTGCAATGCTGATTAACATGTGCGTAACTTATACCGGGACAGACAGAACGATCTACCTCCTCTACTGCCTTCGTTACCATTCGCCGGTGATAGTTTTCGATCACTACCATAAGGCGGCGCTCTGAACAGCTGATTCCACTAAACCGTAACGAAGCGCCGCTAGTACTACACGCACGGGCGTCATAAAATGAATTACGATGCATTGTTGTGCGGGCGGCCTTGGTCGTCCTCTGCGAGTAGCGAATAGATATATATATATATTTATATATAAGTTACACTATGTCTCGCTGTCTGTCTGTCCCTATGTATGCTTAGATCCTTAAAACTACGCAATGGATCTAGACACGGTTTTTTTTTTACTAGATAAAGTTATTCAAGAGGAAGGTTTATACGTACAATACATTGCACTCGTGCGAAGCCGGGTAGTATACTGTAACTATTGATTTAATGCCGTTGAAATCTGGCCACGTCACGATCGGAATACTGAGTGGTTGGGCAGCGCAACAGTCTTCGCTGTTGCACGAATGGGCAGGTCGGTGCGGGTAAATACCGAAGCCGCACGGCCTCGCAGAAGTCCGGCGTGAAGTGAAAGTGTTATGCTTCTGCGTTTAGTCTGGTGAGTGAGGTAGGATTACTACTTAATTAAAAGCTGGCAACGCTCCTTCAACCCTACGGGTGTTGCAAATGTCAACGGGCGGCGGTTATCACTTCACATCAGGTGAACCTCCAGATTGCTTGCTACCTTGTCACAAAAAAGGTGACTTATCCTTTGACGTACTCACCAGGGAGGCAGTGGCCAGATGTTCGCCGTTAAAGACAAGTGCTGAGCTCTTAAATTCCTGTTACGTACGTTTTATATATATATAATTGATCGTTTAGATCACTTTACAAACATTATTGATTTATTTTTTGCGAACGGTACACGTTTCGAGATAATTTTTTAATCAGTCTAAATTCTCGTATCGAGCACTTCACACCATCCCTAATCAAAATATTTGACGATGCTTTTTAACCGACGTCAAAAAAGGAGGAGGTTTTTAATCGACACCAAAAAAGGAGGAGGTTTCTCAATTCGACCGTATATATTTTTTTATGTGTGTTCGTGGATAACTTTGCCGTTTATGAACCGATTTTAATGATTCTTTTTTTGTCAGAAAGGAGATATCCCAAGGGTGGTACCGTGATAAGGAAACCCGGATCTGATGGTGGCATCCCAGAGAAATGATATAGGTATTATCAATTTTTTTATTAGTTTTCTGATTGAAGTCGGTTTTTTTTGTTAACAATTATACTTGTTATACATAAAAACGTCGAGTAAGGATCCTTTTCTTAAAAATTCCATATATTTCCTTATACCCCGGTACATTGTGGAAACCTGAATGTTTTCGAATTAATAGCAAAAAATACTTTGTGAAGTCTATATACCCTTAATACCCTCTATACATGGGAGGCCTTTGCCCAGCAGTGGGACATATATAGGCTGTTACTTTCCTTTTCACTTTTTATGTATATCCTTTATATGCGTACATTATGTACAAATAAAAACTAAAATTGAGAAAACATTTGTTCACACACAAACTAGAGCATCGTCTATATTCTCGCCTCTATTCTGTATCGCATAACCGAATTAACCTAGCTGCACTCAAGGGAAACAACTCTTTAACGCTCGCTGTTCACCTCTTAAGAAGACATAAGGATAATACAGTTTTCCCCTAACCTTACACCAGTTCTGTTATCTTAGGTTTATTATATGAATACCCGTTTACGGTTACCTTACCACTTGACAGTGATGAATTGTTCGAGAGATCTGTTGACTCGCGAGATAAGATAAACCGCTTGTGCTATTTCGTAAATAAATATTTTGTGTCGCAGAAATAATTCTATATATTATATATGTATACACATGGGTGTCTAAATTATACGTATGCTTTTTAATATTATTGGAAATGCATCAAATTATAAGCCCATGAAATTTTATTCAGAGTTATTTTCTAATTAGGATGCCTTCAAACAGTTTTCTATTTGAGTGAGAAGTTTTCAAGCGAACTGGCGGTTGACCTGATGTTAAGTGAATCCGCTGCTCATGAACTTTTGCAACACCCGTAGGGTTGCAGATGCGACGCGCCTGCCCATTCGTGCCACAGTGAAGGCTGTTGCATAGCCCTACCACAGTAACACAAAAAAAAGGTAATCGTACAACATGAACTTTTCGCAAAAAAAGACGATCGTATATCAACTGAGTTCACTGTCATGTATACTGTCATGTTTACAAGAATTACGGGGAACAAAGGTGAGGTTGAGTCTTTGAAACATTAAGCTGCAAATCGTATTGACTTTATAGACTAAACAAAGCCATATAGAAACATTCTAACGGCACCAATGAAATTGTTGATAAGTGCTGGCATGTCACCTGCAAAATTTCGAAATAACAGAAAAGAAACATATTTGGAAAACATATGAAGTTTGGTAATTCGCAGTGGTATCGCGTGATGGGCTTTGCTCTAATACCCTTTGTACAGAGGAGGCCTTTGTTTTTTTTTATACCATGGATAAGAGAGATATGATGTGTCTGCCGGAGAAGATATCTGAGTCTCAGTTAGAAATAGCAAGCACGGCTTTGCCGTCTCAAGGCGGTAGTGGACGGCATTGAGGTCGGAGTGAAGTCCCCTTATGTTGCAAAAATCCACAGAAAGCGTGGTAGGGGTTGCCGTAGTGTGCCTGCTACGTTTGCCTCGAGCAGAGGGAATGGAGAGCGAAATTATGATAAAATTTATCGATTCAGAATAAATACAAATGGATCGATATGAGATTGGAATGTTACCTCATCATTCTCTATAAAATAACGATCGGCGAGGTATGGGTCTGCGTTTAGAGATCTGGGTTCTATCCCCGTCTGCTATAAATCGGCCTGCTTATCCTTGATTAGAAGAATTGAATGATTTAGTATGCTAGTATGACGTAGATGAACTAATTTCGTGGCAGATGGGTCTAATTATGGTCTGCCGCGTGCTTGAGTTTAGACAAAGTCTGCTTATGGTCACCCCTCGGGTTGCGTTCACAGTTACTTCTAAATAATTCAAATAAAATTAGATAAGTGCGTATACTAAAATAGTTTCCTTTGGCCCTTACTGTAGGATAACACTATCCTGTGTTGTAAGGACGTACATAAATTTCTCGTTTCGGGCAAACACCCAGAACCGAAACAATTAACATTGGGTAGGAAATAGTTGTCCCGCGCGGGAATCGAACCCAGGTTTATTTATTTATATACGTTCCCCGCCGCCGCGGAATACCTTATTAACTGGTCCACGGAATCGTCTAAAACTATGTCAGTTTGAACCGATTGGTGCAGTGGATGCTGAACCTGTCTTGCGCCAGAGGGTATGGGTTTGATACCCAATTCTGGAAAAAGACTGTGTTTTTATATGCAATAGCATTGAAGTTTTGCTTAATTTGTGGCTAGATAATGATATGTAAAATCGTATCCGGAAATGTTAGTATTTATTTTTTATTTTCTATTTATACTCTTAAGATAGATGTTGTTTTAAATATTATCTTCCGAAAGTGACTCTCTAGTTACTCT